TGTATAAAATATCGTTCAACTATCTGTCTCGCAACAAAGTTGTTTGCGTAAGACGGGTTTGTCTAAGGAGGCGATAATAGTTCAGGAAATGAAGCTCGAAAAAAGTTAAAACCTCGCAATTTTTTCGTCCTGCATGTATCCAGTTGAAATTTTAGCAGAAGGTAGGTAATAGCCCAAGGATCAAAATCTATATCGAACCGAAGTGCGCTGAAGGGTTTTAGGGGTGAAAACTACCCCTAATTGTCAAAAATTATAAAATAACATATTAAACCTGAATATGGGTAAGATTTGGTTTGAATTAGTTAAATAATGATTATTTTATACTTTTGAATAGAGTTCCATCATATTTCAACCCTTAAAAAGCAACCCTTGTTAGAGATTAATGTAAAAAAATTACTAATTCTAAAAAAATGATTTCGCCTTGGATCGATTTGGATAAAAATTTGGATTTAAGCTCAATTCACCCGCTGCTTTATAGTTTATGTCATGTCGACGAACCCTGATTGTTCTTAGGGGTGAAAACTACCCCTAATTGTCAAAAATTATAAAATAACATATTAAACCTGAATATGGGTAAAATTTGGTTTGAATTAATTAAATAATGATAGTTTCGTGCTTTTGAATAAAGTTCCATCATATTTCAACCCTTAAAAGCGACCCTTATTAGAGATTAATATAAAAAAATTAGTAATGCGAAGAAAATGATTTCACCTTGGAACGATTTGCATAAAAATTTGGAATTAAGCTCAACTCACCCTCTGCTTTATAGTTTATGTCATGCCGATGAACCCTGATTGTTCTTAGGGGTGAAAACTACCCCTAATTTTCAAAAATTGTAAAATAATATTACAAATCTTAAGATGAGTGAAATTTGGTTTGGATTAGTTAAATAGTGAGTTTTTTATACTTTAAAATACAAATTCATACATTTTCAACCCTTAAAAATCAATTGTTATGAGTGCTATAGGTGAAAACAATTTTTTGCCAAAATTTTGCAACTTTTCAACTTTTGAAAATCACCCTTTACAACATTGCAGTTTTTATAAACTAATTTATAAGATATAAATTGAAAAAAGTAGAATTAAATACAAAAAAATTATCAACATAAAAAGGCACCATATATTCTTATACATTTACATAAATAGTTGAAAATATTTACATTTATAGGTAAAACAATTATAAATTAATTTTATTCGTCATCAATTACATCTTGCAGTTGTTTGTTCATGCGTACGGGTAATAACAAACCATCTTTGGAATACCATCCCCAATCTGTTGCTCTGATATTTTCATTGCCAAGCCATAGACATATGAGCAGATGTTTTATTCTGTTCTATGGGATTTCAAAATAAGAACGCTTACAATTTCGAATGTATAACGCCCCACTAGCTAATATACCGGTTTTGTAGATTATTATGCTCCGAAATGTACTGTACTATACTAATGGAATTTTCCGGAAAAAAATTAACTGGTTTTTTTAACGTATTTCCTTTAATTTTTAACGATAGAGTGTTTCTTCAAACACGATTTGTAGAGGTTTTTAATAGCTACAAGGATCTGTGAATTAAATCTTTTTGGAACCCTTGGTTTTTAAATGGGGTGAGTTTAAAGGGCTCGAAAAAGATGGTGCTTGATCGTAAATCGATGCTTTAAACGGCTATATCTCGCCAAATATTCATTGTACAACTAATCTAAATAAAGGATAATTTTAGTCATTAAAAAAGCTACAATTTGGTAATTTTTATTTTTTTCATATATTCAGTATTTTCGGGCATATTTAAAAAAAGAAGGGTAAAAAATATGAAATTGTAAATCGTTTCTCGCTTTAAGCTGTACTTTTTCTAAAACTAAGCATTTTAAATGGGTCAAACTTCTTGGACGTATTAACAATACATCTACAAAGGAATTGCAGAAGGGTGAAGATCGATTTTAATTATGGGGTGGTTAGGGTGTTGTTTTCCTCGATTTTTTTCGTAAAAAATGAGGTATTGACCTTATTTTTTTTATGATAGGTCTATTTATGCTCTTTAAAAAAGGTTTTGTGAGTTTTCTTCCAAAAATGCATCATTTTCCCGATATTTGACTTTGAATCTTTCAAATTTGGCATTTGAAGAAAACCGCTGAACATTGATATTGTATTTGTAGTTGTATTTGTCTTTTTAAAAGCTACAAATTTGTTCTCTACAATTTTTTTGATAAAATGCACCATTTTCGAGTTATTCGCGAAAAATCGATTAAAAACGTGGATTTTTTCGTCTAAAAGTTGTTACTTTCAATCGCGAATAACTTGAAAAATATCATTTTATAAAAAAAATGTATAGCACATTTTTTGTTTAGAATCACTTTTTAATCGAAACCTGTAGTTAAAACGTAAAAAAAATTTCACCCCGGAGATGGGGTGGCAACCACCCCTAGGCTTTGGCGCACTTTGGTTCGATATAGATTTTGATCCTTAGGCTATTACCTACCTTCTGTTAAATTTCAAGTCAATCCACGCAGCACGAAAAAATTGCGAGGTGAAATGCTTCATTTCCTGGACTATAACTGGTTTGACAGCATAATAAAATCGTAGATTTATGTGTAGCTTTCAATTTTTATGAGTTCAGAATCCAGCAGCCCGCTGAAGTATGGGATTTTTATAATATAATTATTTGACAATCTTTTGTTGGCCAACCACCTACAGCAGAATTGAGCCGAAATACATTATATTCCTATGTTCCGAATTTATTTTGTTCAATCTGTATATATATATATATATATATATATATATTATATATATATATATATATATATATATATATATGTATTTTAATGTTTGTGTCGTCAAAAAATGTTTATTTATTGAAACTAATTTATACAGCTTATACATCTTAACACAATAACTGAAGACAAAATATATAATATAAATAAATAATAAATAAAAATAACATACTGAAGCGTGACAATGGGGCAAATAATGTAAGAAGTAAAACCGGTAGCACAAAATATACCTTTATTTAATTTTATTAAATAAAAACTACTCAAGATTATGAATATTAACTCATTTCCCATATTCTAGTATAGAACATTTATTAAAAGTTGTAAAAATTTCCTACTACACTCTGGATATTTTGTATACTTACTCTGAGTCTTTTTTGTATATAATTGAATTTTATAAAAAGAATCTGACAACCTTGGTACTATGCGCATATTATTCATGTTGGAATCCGATATTACTATTATTGAATTAATAACACCAATATCTCTTGATAAAGGTTAATTCATCCATTTTTTAAATATCAAGATTATGAAAATATCAATAAATGAAAACATATATACACCCACATTTATATTCATTTATTAACAACCATTTACAATATTTTCTTAAAATAAAGTTCACTGTCGGTTTACTTAATCTTAACTTTTTGAAAAAGTCTTTATCATTACAAAAATTAAACTGTTCCATTCTGCATCAAATATTTTATTTGTAACTGTAAGACTATCAAGAAGAATTAAAATACTATTATAAAATAATATCTGAATTAACTATAGCAGCTTATTGTCTATGCTTCGCCTAGCTTTGTCTCCTAAGTGTGAATCCGTCTTGTGTTAAACTATGAATTAAACAATGAAAATGCATCTGGTTTTAAAACATTGATTTAACTAATCATATTTGTTCAACATAAAAAATAATATTTGGGTAGCAAAAAAACCCTGCCTAATGCTTTACATTAAATACATTTGTAAATGATACTTTTGGCATCGATGGGCTGCTTGCTTCTAATTATATATTGCCTGCAGATTATGTGGGTAGGATATGTTGCCGGCTACAAAGCATATGAGTAGGTCTTTAAGATAGCTGTTTAGTTCTAGATGTTCCAGAAGTATCCCATAAACTAGGATATTAAACGACCTGTATTAGAGAAACATCAAAGGGAATTAACTTCCTTGTCAATTATTTTAGCAAAATTACAAATAAACAAATAGTAGATAACAAGGATAAAATGAGATAGAATTACTATTAAATCAGTTAGATTCTTTTAGATTCTCACATACATAAAATTAAAAACGTGGTTTCGAAAGAAGTGAGGTTATGACTATTGAAAATGCTATTACAATTATAGAATATACATTACAATGAGAGTATACTTCATCTAATTTACTTACCGTTGCACCTCATTATCATTGACAGAGATCGAAGTTGATATAGTTGCCAAAGTGTAACAAAATCCTGACTCCATTTTTAATCAAATAAGTCACATAATTATTTTCAAAAGTATTACCATCTCTCTACAACGACTATTTTAATTCTTACGTGACATTTTTGAAATAAAACACACTAATTTTGTTCTAGAAAGAACAGATTTTATTAAATAGGTAAAAATATAAAACAAGAACTATTCACTTTAAAATTCAAAATAATAAAGTACAAAAAGTGTCAACACCGCAACTGTCAAATAAGTGTTACCAATTTATGCCAAAATATCACCTTCGTTCAACTTCAGTGACAGTGTCATCCGAACAAATGTTCTTCATAAAAACGCTTTATAATGCATTTATACAAATAAACTGAAACATATTGTATATTTCTTTAAGTTAACATTAATAGAAATCTTTAAATGTTATTTTTTCGCGCATACAGTAAAAATATGTCTAAGGCAAAGTGATTCTAAATAAGAACATACCTACCGCCTAAATATTTCGTGTTGATATCATGTGACCTCACGGACTATGACGTGGATGACGTGCAACGATAAGTAAATTAGACGAAGTATACTCTCCCTAAGAGATTTCAGCAGACGATAAAATGAACCTTACAACAATTTATAACTTTTTTTTTTAATTTCAGAATCAGACAAAAAATAATATTCCCACCATGTTAGAAAAGCTAATTGACAGAAAGTAAGTAGGAGACTGCAATGAAGTTTAGCACAGATGTCATAGGACTGTATGATGAAATTAGCTCTTCTGTCAACATAGAACAGACTATTTAGTCTACCGGACAGAAAGAGAGAGAGGAAATAAAGAGAGAGGGCGAATATTAATTCTACCGGACAGAAAGAAAAAGAGAGGGAGCGAACTACTTTTTTGAACAAAAAATAGTAAAAAAGAAACTAGAGGTAAAGGAATTAATAAATTAATAAAAAAATTAAAATAAAATAATTATTTAAATATAAATTAATAAAGATGTATTTCTTGGACTAAGTTTATAAACAATAAACATCATAATGATTATACTCAAAGACTTGTTTACACGGGTAGAGTTGTGAGGAGAGTAGAGTAGCGAGTAGAGTCGACTCTACTCTACCAAAAATGGCTTGATATCGTTCACACGAGGAGAGTTACAAGTATAGTACTGATGCTAGTATAGTGTGGAGTGGGTGTTTGTTTAGTACAAAATAAATTCAAGAAAAAGAAAATTGATTCAAAATTGTTTAGCTACTGTTGCAAATGCATTTGTAACTGAAGTCGCTGAAGCTATCGATGATGAGGTAAATAAACAAAGAAAGGGGTGAATGAGAGAGTGGCTTAATAGAAGGAATATACACGGGGCCTCAGCTCTTCTGCTAAGAGAACTAGCCTTGGAAGATGAGTTAGAATATAGGATGTGTCTAAGGATGACTTCAGGGAAATTCGAAGAACTTCTGAATATGGTGCATGACAAAATCGAACGACAAGACACTTTGATGCAATAAAACCAAGAGTGAAGCTCGAGAAGCTCGTTCCCACTTGTCCTGAGTTGGGAAAAATAAATAACCTACATACTTTTATAAGAATGCTATTATGTCTGTTTAGTCTAGTTTTTAACCTTTGTAGTATACATTTACAAATTTCCAAGTACCATATCTGAGAACATTAAATATAATCGGTAAACATATTATGATCTTATCGGCACTTTTAAAAATGCTGATTTTCTTATACATACAATTTCGTTTATTATATACATTCTCACAGTTCCCTCGCGTATATTGTAAAAATTTGCCAGCTTCCGATAATATATAATAGGATAGAAACGATTAATATGACATCCGAATATTATACGGATCTGGCATACGACAGGTGGGAACGGGTATAATGCTCAGTGTCCGTTTTTTAACTCTATAAACAAACAAAATAAACGTGGCATTAAATTTGTAATTATTGGTGAACAATTTTATATGGCAGCCAACCGGTTTACTGTCAAATCTGATATAGAATCGTTCACTTTTATCTTGATAAGAATACATTTTTTGAGTATGAGCCTTCAGCTTTCTTGTTTCCATCTTTCTTGTTTCCATAGGAGTGAACCATTTCACGTTCGGAACGTATATATTGCTGAACTAACCGATTTTTTTGATTTTTGTATTTTTAAACACTCTTGATTATAAGCGCACCTTATATTCTTAATTTTTTGCTTGAGCTCGTTTACTCCAAAGCCCCCTTTTGCCATTCTTTCGACGATTTCATCCTCCGCAGTTTGCCTCATACTTTTATTTCTGTAGTGTACACTACCTAAATTCCATAAACACTGGTATTCGCCATACATATCTACATAGTTTTAAAGTTTCATCTTCGGTGAACTTAATTTTTACTTTTTACATAAAACACAACTCCAGCCGGAATGACAGCGTCCCTATGCACTCTCCTACCTACTCTACTCTACCAGAATTGACCGCGTTCCATGAGTAGAGTGCGCGGGCGAGTGGACATTTTGGCGGTGGTGGTGGTAGTAGAGTAGAGTTACTTTGCCACATGTTGCTAGTCACTCTACTCTACTACCTACTATGCACTCTACTTGCTACTCTAGTATGCTGAACGTTTTTTCGGGTTTTTACGGGTAGAGTTATTCTACTCTAACAAGCACTTGCATCATTACTCTACCCGTGTCTTTAAGACTCTACCCGTGTAAACGGGTAGAGTAATGAAGCAAGTACTTGGTAGTAAAAACCTGAAAAAACGTTCAGCATAGTAGAGTAGCAAGTAGAGTGCATAGTAGGTAGTAGAGTCGAGTGACTAGCAACATGTGGCAAAGTAACTCTACTCTACTACCAACACCACCGCCAAAATGTCCACTCGCCCGCGCACTCTACTCATGGAACGGGGTCAATTCTGGTAGAGTAGTGTAGGTAGGAGAGTGCATAGGGCTATCATTCCGGCTGGAGTTGTGTTTTATGTAAAACTTAAAAATGAAGTTCACCGCTACTACTACACTACTGGCTACTCTACTCTTCTCACAACTCTACCCGTGTAAACAAGTCTTTTTAGACTTCATTAAATCTTTTAATATTCATGTCTCTAACCTAGACTAAACAACAATATTTAGGTTGGATTTTTGATTTTACGATAACCTACAACATAATACCGAACTACAATAAACACAATTTATTTTCCAGATAACTTTTTATTTAGTATTTTATTTGGCAAATAAATATTTTATATTTTATATGTCAGATAAGCTTAATTTATTTTATCTTTTAGTTTGTCGGTTCAGATTTTTGCTAAGCTGTCGCTAGAATTTTAAATCTAAACTAACATAAAGCTAAAAGTTATTTTGTTTTAAATGGTAGCTTAACAATATCAATAATATTATTTAATAATTATATTAATTAATATGTAATTAATATTTTTTGTATTAATAATTAAACGTATCGTTTCAAAAACGAAATATGATTGACTCGTAAATTGAAATGTCAGTAGTTCAGATTTCTATGTTCAGATGGCGTTAGGATTTTAAATCTAAACTAACATAAAGCTTTAAATTATTTTGTATTAAATTCTACCTAAAAAATAATATTAAAATTAAATATTAATTAAATTAATATATAATTAATACAGTATTATTAATTAAACGTATCGTTTTAAGAACAAAATGTGATTGAAATGTCAAATAATGGAAGGTTAGATTTCTTTCCTAGATGGCGCCGTTAGTTTACTGGACAAACGGTGCGACTTTTATATAGATAGATATTTAACAAAAGGGTTTTTTACAAGAAAAATTAATTTTTTTAATCAAAATAATGATTCACTTTATCAAACTTTTAATTTATACCTATTCAATTTTGTTCCAATAAAAAAATAAGTAACTGTGTGGGGAAAAAGAGGCATGCCATTTTAATTTGTCCAATTTGTAAAATTGTTTATTAGAGTTTACAAAAACTGTATACATAATGAAATTTTATCTACATGTATAATATACTAATTATCTTAAACTGGATCTGATTTTTTAGTAGTTTAAATAAGCTGATCGATTAGATGGTAGTAGTGTAGCGTCTGACCAAAATATGAGACACATCCAACTTGCTTTTCAAAAGTTATAACGAATAGAAATTTCAGTCAAAATTCACAACTTGCCCTGTATATTATTAACCAATGGGAGTACACTTTTTGATGATTATTTGTTATTCCTCATAGGGACCTCGATACATGGGTATCTACGGTATCTCTTGACTTACCCTTATCAAAAAAGGAAAGACAGTTAAGATTTGAATTCACGTATAGTTCCTCTGTATATCCGCTTATACGTATTTCATCCTAAAAGGAATCTTCGGAGCGGATTTTTACAAACGCTCTGAATATGAAAACAATCTTGCCTGTCGTAGTAAAAGCAGCACTAAAATGGCTTTGATAGGAACGCAGTAGCGACATCTGATCATAAATCCGGAAATTAATTGCCGATAAAATCCTTAGCGAATTGGTTTCTAGTACTTATAAGAAGTATATCGAAATAAAAGGAAAGACAGTTAAGATTTGGTTTCACATATAATGCGTCTGTATATCCGCATACACGTATTTCATCCAAAAGGAATCTTCGGAGCGGCTATTTACAAACGCTCTGAACGTGAAAACAGTATTTCCTGTCATAGTAAAAGCATACTGTAGTATATACAGACGCACTATACGTAAAATCAAATCTTAACTGTCTCCTTTTATTTCGATATACATTTTATCAGACACGTATTAAACCAGAAATCTGAATTTCGTTTCGACAATTAGTTTACGGATTTAATTCATCACAATTTATTTTATTCATTCACCGAATTATCATCAAAGTCAAGAAATCGAGATGTTTCCTGCTCTTAATAATTGATGCGAGGAATTTTGTATAAATTCTGTATTAATGAACAAATGTTCATTTTAATCTATGAATTAAGTAATTATTAATATCAACAGGTCAGTGTATTATTTCATTAAAAATTGGTTATTAGGAAAAAGATAAGTGTTCTGCATTAAAAAGTAATTTTTATCTTGTAGCACACCGTACTTAATGTAAAGGGTATTACTAGTGACGTCAATTGTCAAAATAAACGACTCAAGTTCAAGTAATTTTATAAATAATAACTAAACGATCACTGTCAAGTACTTTTGTTTAATTAACACAAAAGTACAGCATCATCGGTTAGCACCGAGTGTTTGTTAACATTATCATTGATTACGTATATTTTTTAGAATATTCAATTATCTCAATTGAATGATGGAAACGATTACAGACTGATTTTTGGAAAAATCTAATCACACGTTAAAAGCTGATGAATTTAAATGTGACTTGTCTTTAAAGAATTTAAAAAAAGTTGTAAAAGAATATGTCTTTAATTTAATTGTAAAGATATAAATACGAGTATGCATATCCGATATATAAAAATGATCACACAAAGGATACATTTTACGATGAACTGACGCCCATTGTAAAGAGTATTTGAACTGGAAAAGAAGTAATTTTACTGGGTGACTTAAATGATAGAACCAAAAGAAAAAATAAAAACCGTGAACGGTTTTATACCGTGAAAACTCTATAATAATTGCAGATTTTATCAAGGAACAAAGTGTGGATTTGATTAAATTACTATTTATATTTGAAGGATACCAATGAGAAAATAAAGATTAAAGCATAATGATACTGTAACACGTCTCGTCAAGAAGGTAAAATCTACAAGGTTTAGAAACTTCTAACAAGTTTATGAATTAAACAAGTCTGCATTGGTACAATGTTTATTATTTTTCAAAAATTAAAACGTACAACGAAATCATAAAAGATCTTGACGAAACTGCAACCGGAATATTTGGAGTAGTTGATATAATAAAGAATAGAAATGAATGGTGGACTATAGACATAAAAGATCTTGCAGAAAAAAAAGAAGATAAT